GCTCAGCAGGTCTGGCAGCATCTGTGAAGAAAAAAATCAGAGTTAACCTTTCAGGTCCAGTGACCCTTCCTCGGAACAGTTCTGAGGAAGAGCCACTGGACGTGAAACGTTAACTCTGATTTTTTTCTTCACGGATGCTGCCAGACCTGCTGAGCTTTTCCAGCAACTTCTGTTTTTGTTCCTGATTTACAGCATCCGCAGTTCTTTCGGTTTTAATTTTCTTTAACTCTGAAAATAGACAGCGTTCGAAAAAAGAGACAATGATCATCAAAGGTGGAGTGGCACATGAAATTACTTAAACTGCTCAAGAGGAGAGCCTGCAGGGTGACAAAAGTTGTCTTGCAAGTTGCAAGTCAAATCCAACGGCTGTTATCTCAGTGTTTTCTCTGACAGCCTGATGGTGACATTGTTCTGTTTTAATGCCACCCTGCCATTGGTAGCTTCACTTCTCAGCTAACTGAATTTGCTGTTCTATGGCTTAATATCTGCACGGCACCTTGCATAGCCAAAAGACAATAGGGATTTCATCTTTTGCCTCTCTACTAGAGATAGCGTTTGATTTACGGCAGAGTCAACGTCTTGTTATCTGTCTGTTTGCCTTGGATGTTTAGAGATTGAGCGGATATTTCTTATTCTTGACTTCTCCACCATGATTCAGTTTCTGCCGACGATCTGCCGAACCATAGCACAGTGATTGATTGTTGAACTATAGGTAGCATGAAGAGGTAGGCCCTAAATCTACATCAACCAGAATGGAGACTCAACCCTGTGTTCTTGTGGTACTCTGACCCACAAGATAAACATCTGGTCTGTGCTCAGATGCCAAGTATGTTTTGGAGAGAAACTAAGATTTGCAATGAAGGGGATGTCATGACCCTTACGTTCAATCTTTGAACATATTTTCTTGCACTTCCAGCAGTGTATGTTATTTCCATTGTCTTCCTGTTTCCGGTAAATTTGGAATAGTGGTGTACTTGTGGTGCTAATCAGGTTAGATTATTGACTGATAACAATTTGAATGCTCCTATGGTATCAATTTTAGCAATGGTGTTACCAGTAAATTTGATTAACATCTAAAATGCTTTCCTTGTCTTTCATTTTTTAATGTGTTACACAGGGTAACTACAATGTCAGGCTGATCACCCCTCGTATCAATCACTGCTTTCTTATTGAGATGTGACTGGTGGTTTTACATGTCCTTCCTGTTGCTAACCTTCCTCACTTAGCCAGGCCTGTAATACACATTGGCCTGCCTGCACAAGTGGCTGGGTGCATCCATGGCGAAGAAGTGAGAAGAACCTACTTATCTCCAAAGTGGGACCTGAACTTAGGCGTCTCTCTTCTTTACTTGCCTGGCCATGAACCTCCCCAGCTCCCTATTAATGTCTCCAGGAAAATGTAGCATGATGGTGTCAAGCATTTGTGCATTGACATTGGCAACAACGATTTCGCTACTGAGTGAAATCCTGAATTATGCCATCAGCAAGGCAATAAGCAGAAGTGATCCCTGATCTACAAATATGTAAGATGACTGCCTATAGTAACACAGTACCATCTTTATGACAGCAGAATATGGGGGACTACTTCCAAGTGTCCTTATTAATAATACAGTATTTACAGCAGTCCTCCAGGCCCTCTGGGCATGTGTAAATTGCGAATACATTTGAGAGAACATCCAAATGATAGGTTTTTGCTTAAATGTCTGTGTTTAGTGAGTGTCTTAAAATCCTTACGTTATTACCTGATCATTCAGTGTGACGTTGACTCAAATAGTAATTTAAACAACAATAGATGTGTGCTACAGATGGACCGAGATTCTTAATGTCTGATTCAGTGGTGTACAAAAACAAATTTATAGTGATACTGAGGCTGCATACTTTACGATATCAAATGCCCATTTGCATTCTGCTGGAAGAATTGCTACTGTCTAAATACGAATGACCCCACTCTGCTATCAGTGCTCCAGAAAGTATTAGCATTTAAAATAAAAGTTATATTTAATGACTTTTTTTTGCCTTCTAATTGTTACTAATGGTGTGGGAAGCAGTAATCAGCACAATTTGAACCTGCCAATCAGAATACATGGGTCCACACCTTCCCTTCCCTCAAGAATCTGCAGAGATTTACACCAACTGTGATTGGTCTAAATTCTGATTTACAGCATCCACAGTTCTTTTCTTTTGGTTTTTATTTACACCAATTGTGTCGCCCTCCACTAATTTGAGTGAACTCTGTGTGGACCAGCAGTCAAAGTTGGTGTCTTCACAGTCTGTGTGTGCCCTTATTGCCTGATAAACTGATTCTACTGTTTGACCCACCATGTGTGTTAATAATTTTGCCTGTTTTACGCATGAATGTGCAGAGGGTACTTGTGGTGCAGTGGTAGTATCCCAACCTCTGGACTAACAGGCCTGAGTTCAGTCCCACCTGCGCCAGAGGTGTCGTAGTTTGTCTGAACAGGTTGGTTAGAAAATATCTACATAAGTGTGCAGTAGGGTCTATTGGCACAGTGGTAACATCCCTGTCTCTGAGCCAGAAGGTCCAGGTTCAAGTCCCATTTGCTCTGGAGGTGTGTTATAACATGTCTGAACAGGTTAAATAAAATAGCTACATAAACATGTAACCTGAAAAGTAGCATTAGAGTGACTTTTACTCCGTGATTGAAGCAGACTTTGTCGCCACATCTAGTCTGAGATGGGTGCCTGATTCTTTTCACCATCTCACAGTGATTAATAATTGAATCTTTTTCAATTAACTCTCTGTACGAGGTTGTAGACTTGCTTGCCGAGCTGGTGGGTTTGGTTGCAGACATTTCATCACCGTGCTAGGTAACATCGTCAGTGCGCCTCCGGTGAAGCGTCGGTGTTCTGTCCCCCTTGTTATTTATATGCCTCGGTTTGCTCGGGTGGGTGGTATTACTTCCAGTTCTGTCTTCTTGAAAAGTTTAAGTCTCTGTTCTTTAAGGTTTTGTCCTTTCTGTCACACTGCTCCTTCTTTACATCAGTGGCATCCTTTATTCCATCATGTAAACCCATCCACTTTCTCGTGAATGATTTCGCTCCACATTCAACAACTGACTTGAGATGGCACAACACCTAGGATTCTCACAATGCAGTCGCTGAATCATTACACCTCAGTCTTGTCTACACCCTGCTGTGTGGGACAATGAAATTATGGTTTCTTTTACTTCTTCAAAGTTGTTTCTTCTATCCCATACAAGGCAAACTGAAAGCTGAAACCAATGGCCTTTTTTTTCAAGCCAACAATGTTGGCCTGAATACGAATAGCCTCCAGTAGAATGCTTGCACATTTCCTCTGGTACAAAGGGTTTTAAAAAAAAGCAGTTTCCTCTTTCTTTTCCACTTAAGAGCTCCTCTCTTTTTATAACTCAGCCAAAAATATGCATACTGCTGCCATATCCAGACGTGTCTTCCAGAACTCAACTAATACTTCTGGGCCGGTTACAATTCTTCTCACATATCTTGCCAAACTTTTTTTCCAGGACTTCCTGCCTTGTGTTTCTGCCCTATTGTTATTACTGCAATCAACATTCTTCTCAATGTCTCTTCTCTGACTCTGTCATCCTATCTGCCTTTCCTGCTCCGTACAGCCTTCCTGTGTTGACTCAAGGGTCTTACTCCAACTTACTCTAACTCATTCTTTCCTTGAAACTGAGGAATGTCTATTAAGAATCTGTAAGTCCTTTGGCACCAGCTCTCTGAGCAATTTAGGTCGTGCCATGCTCCCTACTCTCTCTCCATAAACATACACATTTCTCCTGTACATTCTCATTCTCGATATTTTTGAGTGGAAACAGTTTCTCCCCATCTACTCTGTCCAGACCCCTCACGGTTTTGAATACCTCTGTTACAGCCCCTGTCAGTCATCTATTCTCCAAGGAAAATGCTCTGAACTTCTCTAATCTATCTTCGTAACAAATTCCTCAACCTTGGAACCTTTTTCATAACTTTTTTTTCCCCTGTGCTCTCTCCAATACCACCACACCTTTGTTAAAGTGTTGCCCCAGGACAAAATGCTCTAGTTGAGACTGAACCAATGTTTTATTCAGCTTAGCATTGTCTCCTTGCTGTTCTATTCTATACTTCTATTAATAAAAGCCAGAATGCTGTATGCTCTCTCAACATGTCCTGCTACTTTCAATTACCTATGTATGTATCTACCCAGATCCCCCTCCTCCTGCACCCCCTTGGAGTGGTACCCACTTCTTCCAACATCTCGAGATGTCCTTCTGACCAAAATGAATCTCTTCTTGTTTCTTGTTCTTGTGTTTTTCCAATAAATCCTGCAACTATTTTATTTGCCCAAACCTCTGTGTTAGCTATTTTCTATCATTTCAAGATTTAGAACTCAAATTTAGTGTCACCTAATCACCATGTCATGACTCGCTTCCTTTTTATCTATTGTCTTTCAGTGGAGGTGGTTGCTGACATTTATGGGCTCTGTATTTTCACTTTGTTTCTCAATAATAAAACATGGAGAATATTTTATTTGCCTGAGTTCTCACTGAGCAGAGAGAGCACATTGCATCAGAAACTATTCATATTGCTCCCATGGGTACAAACCTGACTGAAAAACAGAACGTTCCCAGATCCAGGCAGCATCATCACAAGAGTTTTACCAGGTATGTCACGTTTCATTGAAGAAAATTGCTACCCTGAATGAGGCTTCTGCGTATTTTAAAAATAGTGAACTAATAGTTGACTTTGAAACTTGACCAGCTCCCTTGTTGGTAATCTGACTTAGCTGAATAAACACCTTTGAAGTGTCATTCCTGTTATCACATTGAAATTGTGGCACTCAATTTGCATACAGCAAGCCCCGCAACAGCAATGAGCAAATGTCCTAACTTTCTACATTTCTGATTTTTTTTAAACTTGATCCAACAATGATGCTTTTGCTTCTCCATATGTTGGCAGATTCAGTTTTTGCCTGTCCAACTTTGATGAGTTTGTGATCATTTCAGAGTGCCAAGTTGCTGCTGAAATGCCTGTGCAGTCGGTGATGGAACTTGAGCAATGCAAGCACAATGGGACATATGTTATCTGCTGGTGGTTGCAAACCTTCTCTATTTAACCATTTTCCCACAAGTTGCATCTGTTGGTTTGTGTTGTGGTTCAGACTTCAAGTCCTGGGAATTAATTGTTCTAGTGAGGCTTGAATAGCTGGGATGCTGCTTTCTGTGGGAATAATAGTTTTATTGGGTTCTGTGGAATGTACATCTACTCCATCTCAAAAATAATGCATTTTTTTAAAGGACTTGAATTGTGATAATTGTTAAAAGCACCAACACAGATATAAAATATTGGCCCTCCTTTCAGTTTTGGATTCGAGGCGTTTCCAGGGGGAGTTTGTTGAACAAAGGCTGTACTCCCTCATGGCTTTGAGGGTGTTATGGTGGGAGGTAGGTGTGGAAATAGTTGTATTACAGGGGGTGGGCATTCATGGGGATCTGGGGAACTGATTTGTTGATTTGTTTGTAGTTCAGAGTTGGAGATTGGACAGTGCAAATATTGAAAATTCAGAATAATTTCAGAGCAATTAGATTAAACCATTACCGTTTTTAAAACATTTTAACATGTCAGTTGGGAACCTGGTTTGAAACAATGGGACATTAGGAGCTGGCTGGTTACTGTAGCTCATGACTGACTAGACTGAATGCTGATGTACAAAATGAAGATAGTTTTAAGTTGTGTACTACTTGGATAGCTCCATCTTAAAGGCTCACACAGTGGGATATCAACATGCATTTTTTTGTTAGTTTATTAGACTAAGGTACAGGTAACATCACTGTAGTTTTTTCAGACTATAGGGCTGCTCTGTTATGAGAGAGATGACTAGTGGTGGTATAACCAGAGGGTCAGTATGCTTCAGGCAAGGATAGAGATTGAGAAGGAGAATCCTTAATGGTAACCTCAGCGAGTGTGGGAATTAAACCCACACAGTTTGCATCACTCTGCATTGCAGGCCAGCCAAACAGCCAACCTATCCCCAGTGTATTATATGAATGTAAGAGGAAACCATTTTTACCTGTAAATCCAAGGTAAAAGTGTTGGGAGAAAGCTGCCATTTGTCAGGAGTACGTTTTTTTGTTTTCTATCCGAGACTCAGAGTCATACACTACAGAAATTGCCCTTCGGCCAACCAAGTCTGCACCAATAAAAAATAAAACCAATTTGCACTAATCCCACAATCCAGCACTTGGTTCATCCACTTGAATTTTAGACATTCCAAAGGCTCATTGTGAAGTTGTGAGGTTCCCCGCCTCAGCTAAGTTTCCAAACAGTGCATTCCAGATCCCCGCCATCCTCTGGGTGAAGAACTCTTTCCTCAAATCATCTCAAACTCTGTCTTTCACCTTAAAATTATGCTCCCTCATTACCGACCCTTCAACTAAGGGGACCAGCTGCTTCCTCTCCACCCTGTCCACACCAGTCCTACTCTTTAGCACCTCAATCAGGAGCCCCTTAGCATTCTCTGCTCTAAGGAAAACAACCCAAGCTTATCCAGCTTCTCTTCATAACCGAACTGCCATGTCTTCTTCAGGGTCATTCAAAGGCTGGTTGAAAACATTTGTAAATGTGTCTATTTTTTTCTCCCTCCTGCCCATTTTTCCAGTTCATATTTCTGAGCAAATATGTATTAACACTGGTAGATTTGCTTCTGCCTCCTTCTTTCTTTGTTGGAGTACTTGTGTGTCTTTGTACCCATGTCATCATGCCCAGCATAATGCCACATGCTCAGAATAGGACAGTAAAAGCCTCCTCTCTCCATTTTTTTTTTGTTTTGGGACTTTCCTGAAAAGGGATGTCATGGTTAGCGAAGCTTTCCAACAATAAGGGTTTTAGATAAACTGAGCGTTTTTTTTTCCCAATCCTTTTTGGTGAATTTGGTCAGATCAAGGCAGTAACTGAGCTCATTCAAGGTTAAGCAGCAGAATGCAGTCACCGTCTTCTAGAACATTCTTTGTTGTCTCAGCAAACATCCCCCAAACCTCAGTCTTCATCCCTGCCCTTGGTTTCTGTGTCCATTTTGGTTCATTTCCTCATTGTTGCATCCTCTCGCATCCTACTGTACCTGTGGGTGAGATGTGCTGTAAACTTGCATGTTCGACATCAAATGCCTCCTTATTGGCAGTTTTGAGAAGTGCAAAACCACTTCTTTGATTTTGCATCCAATCAGAAAATTTAAATTATACAGGGGGAAATAAAGAAGTGCACAGCCTCAAGTGGAGCTGTGACTCTCGAATGTATTTTCCTGCTTTAGTTTGAAAGTAAAGCAATTGACTGAAACAGAAATGCAGCACAGTTTCTTGCACAGCTAAACTGGCCTCAGCAATGTTTGCAGCCATACTTGTCAAGTCAGGTCTAGTCCTGTCAAGTATGCTATTTGTACGTAAACACTTCGCAGAAGAGATATGGCAGTGTCATCATCATGTTACTGGGCTAATAATCAAAGGGATCTGACTTTCAATCACGTTCTAACGTTTTGAGAATTTAGATTCACTTTTATAGATTTTGAAGCATTGAACATTGAAAATAACATTGAAGCTCTCGGACTGACGTAAATGTTCATCTGGTTCCCTACTGCCCTGTTTAGGGAAGGGAGCTCTCTCTCCTGCCCGACCTAGCCTAGATATGAGTCTAGTCCCACAATAACATGGTTGGCTCTTAGATGTTGTCTTAGGTGTCATAGCAAGTCACTAAATTATATTAAACTGCTGCAATATTGTATACTTCAGAGTGAAGCAGTTCACGAAGGATGTACCACTAGAAATGGGCAATAAATGTCGCTCTTAACAGCGATAACATCTTGAGATTGACTTTTTAAAAATACTATTGCATCTTTGGAAAGGAGATTTCTTGCACAATTGTGTACATAGGCAGTTGAATGTTTAAAAGCAATAGCCGCATCACTTGGACATCACGCAGGCTAGAATAGAAATGTGCTATTATTGTCAAAATTTCTTTGTAATTTGTTTTGTTTGAGATACCATCACAGTTTACTTCCAATAATGTTCATGTACCGCTTCTGGCCAGATCTTTGGTTCAGAAACTGTGCTCTGACCACAAATAAATAAATCAGAAATATTGTGCTTCTAGAGTGAAATTTCATAAACTTAGAATGCCCCAAAATGCTTTACATCTAATGAAATACTTTTGAAGTATAGCCATTGTTGTAATGGAATAAACATGCCTGTAACTGTGTAACTGTGAGTTTGGAGACATGACAAGTTAAGCTACACGTTTATTTTAGTGGAAAAGCTCAGCAGGTCTCACAGCATCTGTGGAGAGAAATCAGAATTAATGTTTCGGTTTGAGTGACCCTTCCTCAGAACCTAAGGGTCACTCAATCTGAAATGTTAACTCAGATTTCTCTCCACAGATGTTGTCAGACCTGCTGAGCTTTTCCAGCAACCTCTATTTTTGTCTCTGATTTACAGTATCCGCAGTTCTTTCGGGTTTTGTTTATTTTAGTGCTTTAACTGAGGAATAATAAGTGGTAATTACTGATGAGGGGTAATTTGTGCTCTCTTCTTGGAAACAGTGCCATAAAATTATTCATATTCAGCTTGAAAGGGCAGATAGGTCTTGATTTAGTGTGTTATATGAAAAGTGAGTTCCCCGATGGTGCAGCTTTTGCATTGGCAATGTAGGCCTGAATTTTATGCCTGAAGTGGAACAAGAATATCTGACTTAGAGTCAAGGCTGCTAGTACTGAGCCAGGTCTGAAGTGTGAAGCTGCAGAGAAACGCGGTGGATTTGCACTCCATGGTTTCACTGGTATCCAGTCTTGGGCTTTTACTGCTGATCCCAGGAGTCTACCGTAACCACCTCTGCACCAGCCCTTCTGCTGTTGTCAATCTATAGGTAATCCCATTGCACCTCCTCCTGTAGCTCCCTCTTCTCAGCTATTGGTAGCGATGGTTGTTTACCTTACAGACACCTTCGCCCAACTTACAAGAGCTCAAGAAATAGAAGTGTACCACACAGGTTGTGGTGCCTTCATCACCATGCAGTATAATCATGGCTGATCTTGAGTGTCATCTTGAGTTTCCTACTTGCATCCCATGGTTCTGTGAGAGACCAAAATTTGCCTCTTCCAGCCTTAAATATAGTCAGAACTGCTCCCCCACCACCCCCCTGCCACCCCGCCACCATGGTAGGGAGAATTCTAAAGACTCATATCCCTTTAGTGAAGAAATCTTTCCTTATCTCAGGGTCTGCTACAACTCCTGCTCTGCCTTTCAGTCTTGTAAACACTTTGTGACGGGATTGTAGAATATTTTGCATAGGCACTGAACAAACTACAGAATTCTCGTCTACCTCCACATTCAGACAGATATCAAATTGTACCAATGGAAAAATGGTAGGGGAGACCTTTAGATGATATTGCAGATGTAACAATGTATGGTTCTATTGGCGTTACAGACTTGGAAAAAAAAATCCTTTTGTGCCATGTGGGCATCATTGGTAAGGTCAGGAATGGTTGCCCATGTCTAATTGTCCTAGAACTGACTGGTTTTGCATGGCCATTTCAGATGGCACTTCAGCCAATGAAGTGCTTTTTTTCTTTGCACTTCATGAAGTGCAAGCATTGCTTAAATGTAGGAAATGCAGCAGTCAATTTGCGCATAGCAAACACCCAACAAGATAATGACCAGAAAAAGACCACTGTTTTACAGTACTGTTTGGTGAGGGAGAAATGTTGGCCAGGACACCAGCTCCTTTTTGAAATAATGCTGGGAATATTTCTGTCCACCTGACAGGGCAGGTGGGGACCTGGTTTAAATTCTAACTGAGCCATCAATATCTCTAACAGAGCAACAGTCCCCCAGACCTACACTGACCTGTCAGGCCGGAAACATTGCTGTGTGGTGGGGAAAGGTGCTGTGCGGCAAAAAAAAACTGGCTTTTCAACAATCCCTGGTACAGAGTAGCTGCTATCACTTGGTTTAAGAACCTCTCCTTTGGAGACTGTATCTCCCCCAGCCTCTCCACGGCAAACCATTTGGTGGGGAGAATGGATTTAGGGATGCATTACTGAGGTTGCATTTTTTTTCCTCTGGGATATACTGGCACTTTACACCAATGGCAGTGCAGGGTAACAAGGTGTAGAGCTGGATGAACACAGCAGGCCAAGCAGCATCAGAGGAGCAGGAAGGCTAACGTTTCGGGCCTAGACCCTTCTTCAGAAATGGGGGACGGGAAGGGGGTTCTGAAATAGATAACAAGGTGTAGAGCTGCAGGGTGTTCTGTCTTTACATCATGGGCCTGAAGGCTGTTTAATTTTAGCTTCTGACCCTTTGAGCTTTGATTCCAGTCTGAAACCAATCAAAGACCTTGAGTGCGAGGCTGAATTTACATCATGCTGTACATCTGAGCTTTGGCTATTCATCATTTTCTGTTACACACTTAAAAAAATTAAGGCTGTAATTTCTGATTTATAAGCTGCTTATTCCTTTTATTCAAATGTTGTCAGCTGGCACAAAGCTGAGCCTCCTCTACTGTTGAATTGGACCCATTCTAAAAGATTGTATCTTTTAAGAGATTGTATCTTTTAGAAAATGAACTTGTACCTGAAGGTTGTGGATTTGAAAAACAGCTCTTTAAAAACAGCCTGTATGAGACATACAACTTCATTGACCTCTCTATTTCGAATGTGTGCTAATGTAGTATTTTTTGTGACAGATGATTACAACTGAGCAGACTTGTACAGAGAATGTATACAGAGAAATGAGAGAGGTGGGATAAGCTCATAAATCGAGCAGCTGCTTAATGGGAATAGATGATTCCTATCAATTACTTTTCTGACTCGTGAATGCTTGTATTTAAACACACCTTGTCATTCAAAATGTCCTTGCTTCACACTGGGGCTGCAAACTCAATGTGAAACGTGCATACATGGGGGACAGGGTGAGAATGCTGATTCTGAGCATATTTGAATTAAGAAAAAATATCAAATCCTGGACTTCGAACGGGAGGACCCTTTTACAGTGTAAAGCTGATCTGAATTTACAGCAGCGATGCACGAAAGGTCAAAGTCCGTCTGGGCTGACAAGCACCAAATAGCATATTGATTAGAGAGCGAGAATTAATTTGGTGAGTCATTGCAAAAAAATAGCATTCTTTTCCTCTGTCAGATCAAACTAACCAGAATGGAGAATGTAAAAGCTTTTCATCAGGTATGGGTTGAAGGCTCTTCAAGTTTCATTAGGAAAGGTATGAGGAAGGACAAGAACTGACTATTATCTTTTTGGAGATTTCTGCTGAGGGGAATCATCAGATGATTTAGCCATAAGACTTACCAAGTTGGTCTATTCTTTTATAATGTTTTCCACCTTCAAAACACAGTAACTGTAGTGAATAGAAATATTTGTTACAGTTTTATAAGCTGTTCCTTTTAATTAAGGTTGCTTCATTCAAATTATTCAAGAGCTTGAACTTTTACAAACCCAAACCTTGCTGCGTTAATTTAAGTCGCTTATTTTAAATGACTGCATGATTTGATTTTCCTTCAATTAAAGTAAAATTACTGTTGATCAGTACAGCTTCATTAGCAAGGCAGATACCTGGTCAATCAGCAGTCAACTAATCTCATGGAATAGCAGCGATTTAACTCGTCAAATAACAATCATTCATATAAAACCTATTCCAGACAGTAGGGAAACCTGAAATCTAGCAAAACTGCAAATCCTTTGAAAGACCGGTTTCTCAATTCCTGGCATTACTGCCACGCTCATAGCTTTTGTGTGTTTGGATACCCACGATTAAACTCCAAAATTTGAAAACCAGTGATAAAGCTCGTTTATGGATTCAGTTTATGCTAGTATAATATTTTAAGTCATTTCTTGTTTAGTTCCGACCACCTTCTGTACAAAAGCAGTCTTGAGGCACACTGCGGGGAGGAGTACAAAATCTAGTCTGATGCTGCAACTGCAATACTGCAGAGGTACAGACTGTTGACAGTTCAGACAAGACATTAAATCCAGGATACTTCTATCCTCTTGGGTAGCTGCAAAAGACCGCACGATACTGTGTTAAAGATTCTGAAATGGCTGAACCTCTGAGCGTAGGAACTGGAATGAGCTGTTTAGATCCTTGAACCTGTTCTGTCAGTAGATTAGATCATGGCTGACCCATGACCTAACTCCACATACTTGTCATATCCCTTAATACCTTGGTTAACAAAGATCTATTAATCTCCAATCTACCAGGCTTTATATTTAATGCTTCTGTAAAAATAGAGGAGATGAATGTAGTTCAAATGCACTAAACATTCATATGTGAACATTGCAGTTTAAAAGTTCTACCCTTTTCTCTATTTTCCAGGTGATATTTATTAATAAATGGAAACAGAAGTGGAATTCGTAGACATATGAAAAGGTGCTCTGGTGAGATGGATGTTTTGTGTTCTGCTTAACTATTTGTTCTATTTAATAAACAGCTTCTTTCATTAAAGTGAATGAACAGTATTGAAATATTGTTGACAGTGGCCTGGCCCTTATGTTACAACATCAGCCCTGAGCATAAACAGCATTCCACGATGGTGCAACTGTTTGCCAGATGTTCTGTGTGAACATCACCATTAAATGTGACTTCTGCAAAGAGCATGTGCAAACTGGGCGTTAATAGACCGTTTGCAAGTTCGGTTTTTATGAAGACCAATATATCACTGCCATTGAAAACCATGTTTATTGAACAGTGCTTGAATAGTGAGGACATAAGGCTGATCGCACATCATTCTCCTTGTAGGGGAGAATGTTAGGGGAAGATTTTTATGGACCTTTCAAAACTCTGAAAGATTTTTTAAGAGTAAATAATGAGCGCTGTTTCCACAAATAGGAAGGCTTGTATCTGAAGCTTCACTGTAATTGGCAAAAAATTCTGAGGTGAGGTGAGGTGAGGAAAATTAATAGTTACTTTCAAGAGGGTATTGAATAAATACTTGAAAAGGCAAAGATTTCAGGGCTATTGGGAATGAACAGAGGAGTAGAATGAATTGGAAAAAGGCGCAATGGGTACTGTACTATGAGGCTGTTTCCAATGTGATCAACGTTATATTGGGGCTGATTGTGTGGAGGTTCCCACTTAGAGAAAGGGCTGAGAAACTTGCGAAGTAGCCTTTTATTAAATGTATAGCTACTCGGAGATGATACTCTTACTGGCTGCACAGTTCTGGCTATAGATCATTCAAGAATGTTCAGGAAAACCATGCATTGCCTAAAAGTAAGAACCTGCCCATTCGGGTTACAACACATAGGTGATAATTTGGCTAATATGGAGGTGTTGAGAGCCAGACCCCAAGTGGCGAGTTGGTGATTTCCCATTTCCTTTTGTGCCTTTGTTGTCTAAAGCTGTATGCAACTAAAACCATTTTGTGAATTTGTTACATTCAGGAGGATTTTTGCTGTCTTGTTTAAAATGCAGGGTCTGCATTACAAATGGATTATAGCTCCCAGCAAGTGTGTTGTAAGGCCAGAGCAGGTATTGATCAAGATGCAAGGATTGTAATTCTGTGTCAGTCATACTTCTGTGAATAGATTACTCATTACCCTTGTGTGATAATATAACTTAGTTCTCTGAACAGAAATTTATCAGTTTTATGGATAGGTAGGACAAGAAAATGGTTTTTAGTGCTGATGACTTTGGCTGAAATGTTTAAGTCTTATTCTGGCAATAAGCAATTTTGTATGTAAGCATTATTCCCATGTAATAATGATATTGACTGGAAAATCCAGGCTACAGAGTGGGCCAAAGCTGATCAATTGATAATGCTCATCCCCCATATGCTGTACATTTTACCAACACCAATCTGCTTCACCTTCAGCAATCTTAATACCTTCCCACCCACTCCCCGTCGTATTCTGAACTCTATCTCTAAACCCACACCTTTCTCCACTTCTTCCCTTCATACAAAGCCTTGACAAGATCTACTGCTCCGATTCGGAATCCAGTTACCTATCTAGTCGTGATCCTACCAGACAACTACATGCTCAGTTGTTTTCGTGTCTGTAAGGCATTATGTGAAATTTATTGATGTTTATGGTGCCATAAAAATGTATGCTGTTGTTATTCCTGTGTAGATTTTAAATCTGTGACAACTTGGAAGGGATTGAGCAGTTCTGTCCTAACTTGAAATTATTTTAAGTCTGTTCTTGTGCTTAATTGCAATACGCTTAATCATCAGTGATTCAGATGTTATGGGTTTCTGGATTTCTTCAATCCATTTTAATTAGCCTCCTTCTCAGTACTAAGTACATCTTTATCGTTTGAATGCAATCTGTCTTTCTGAGTTAAAGCTTCATTATTGATTAGAATTAAGTATCTTGCAAGATGCTTTACATTTCTCAACATGCCCAACATGATATCATGAATGGCTCCTAGAAAATATTTTGCAACCTGGCATGTGAGATTTCCCTTGTTGATTACATTTTCATTGAATCTAAACAATTTTCAGTGAAAAATGAGTCTCAAAACAATGTGATGAACTATTTTGGAAAGTGCGCTGACGTTCAAGTTTCACTGCCTAGGGTCATTACAAAATTGTTATATTTAATGAAATCAATCAAAATCCCCAATTTACCTGCCTGACGCATTCAGATTGAATCCAATATATTGACCAGGTTTCTGTACTTGACAAGAACTTAATGTTTATTACGAACAGATCAATTCTAACCGTAGGCGATCAAAATATTAACGACAACTTATAACCCTTAAACTCTACCCTTTCTTAAGGCCTTACACACATGTAGACAGAAACAGACAAACAACAAAAAAAATTCTGTAGGTGGTGGAAAAGAAATTAGGGGAATGTGTTCCTATAGCACTAGTCCACAGGATTTAATGAGTTATCATTTTGCTTCTTCTGTGTCGCTCTGTTCTCCTTCTTTCCAAGTCATTTTAGTTCTTTACTGAAGGACAGGGTGTCAGCACACCAATTGTTTAGTCACTTGGTCAATGTTTAGAGGCAGCAGCCTATGGGAAATGATGACTGTGAATAACTGGCTACATTCCAATTCTTTTGGTAATTCTCTGCAAGCGAGGAGAGATGCTGAATTTTCAGAGTCTGAAGGCTTGCTGCTGCTCTATTATTCACATACTAGGCTGCCCATCTGTTCAGGAGCCAATAAATCATGTTGCTGTGTGATCTACACGTTGGTCCTGATTGGAAATCCAATAAGCCGATTTCTCTGGGCAACACTGCCCTGACCACACCACCCACCCACCCACACACGCACACTCTCACACGCACGCATCCCCCCATACACATGCACACACACACGTGCACACAGACACACACATGCATGCATGCCCGCGCACACTCACGCGCGTGCGCGCACACACACAGTTGTCCTGCCGCTTCAACAAGACAACAATGTGACTACAACCCACAATGAGTTCCAGCATATTGTTTTAAAACTGCAACAGCATCTTTCCCACTTTCCTTGGTTTCAAACAGTACACCCTTTTTACCATCTTGGCCCACAGTCCAAAATTAAAGAAAGCTAAAAGGATTTAGTCTTTACCACTAATAAAGCCTCAGCTATGGTAGGGAGACCTCTTGATTATGAAACAGCTACAAAAGATGAGATGCAATCATTTGGTAATATAGAGCTTGGGTTTTGCTTGGAAAAAAAAAGTGCATTTTCACTAAACTTTTTGAATTGCACTCACTCAGACCATTCGCAAGAATTTCCAAAGGGCAAATAAGATTTATGCTGTATTAGAAGAGTGTGCTGATTCATTGGCAAGTGGGCTGTCATTGGTACATGTATCGTCATGGAGAATGTGCCAGTTAGCTATTGACTGGAGGTTTAATGTCAACTGTTGTTTAGATTTTAAATCAGACAGTTTGACACTGATTGGTGAAGCATTACCATGAGAAACAGACAGAGAATGGCTGTTAGCACTTTTGTTGAGTTGTAACAGGTGCAGTGTGTGTACATGTTCTTTCTGGCTGCAATGAATAGGGCTCTGTGTATTAATATGTAGCTCCCAATACACACAAATGCTCCATTACTATGACCCTGACTGATAATCGTAAATTCATTGACAATGTAATCCTTCACACAATCCCGAGATTATTTAGCAAACGTTGTCCAATCTCTGAATGAAAATCTATTGTTGGATGCTATGTGAGTTTTGCGAGTGTGGGACTGAAACAGTCATGACCTTTGCTTGTTGCAAACAGGCAAATGGATATGCTGCTTGGTATGATCTACCAGTCGTTGTGATGTATGACCCATGTGTACCTAACATCACTGAAAATCAGACACCAAATTACTCATTTGATAGGCAGAACATTTCTTTTTCGCTTGCTAGCAATATCCTGTTATTGACCAAACAGCCACACTTGCAAATCTCACAACACAGTATCCAAAGTTAGACATGATTCTGCATGTGGGCGTCAACCACCAAATAATCCTGAATATGCTAGGAATTATGCTGATAATCTAGGATTGTCAGTCAGCTTCACAGTGTGAAGCACTTTCAGTGTGCTGGAAGCAGACAGAATGAAAGTGCAACATATGCAGTGTATACACAAGTCGGGTTTGGATATCTTCTTTCTCTTTGATCTGCAAACCACATCACGTCCAAATTTTAGCTAACTCCATCAGCAAAGAGACGTGCAGATAGATTGAAACCAGAGAACCTTCAGCTCCACCCATGTAATGTGCTGAAGGCTGTCTTCAAACTGATCTTTAAATTAGTTACCCTTCATTTGCAATTTCTTCACTGATCTGAAGAAGTAATTTCTTTTGCAAACTTTCAAGATTCACTGTTGTTTAGTTCCAATTCCCAAAACACAAATACTGTCTGAATGCATTTCTTGCAAGGATTACAAATGTTTTGTTCCCAGCTAAATTAAGCTTACCTGCTCTGCTATGATCTAACACTCCTAGCTGTTAACCTCCTTAAGGCAACAAGCCTCCAAGAGTGATTGGCTTTGACCATGCTATAATTGCATCAATTCCATTTTCTGTAGTTAAACTTTAATTTCTCAACTTCTCCTGTTTCTCAACTGCTTATTTTATATTGCCTCTATGTTTACCCCCACCAAAGTATATCACTTCACACTTCACACTGAAATTTCACCAGCCCTCTTGAAATCAATTGCTGTCCTCCACAAAGGTTATGATACTTGTAAGTTTGACGTTGTCAGCAAATTAATTTGTGTCCTGCATCTTCATATCCTGACTCAACAATACAGATCAACTGCTACCAATCACAGCAAACCCAGCTGTATACCTATCTCCAGTCTTAGAAAGGGCCATTCGCCATTACACTGTTTCTTCTAACTCAGCCAATTTGTTCATGTCACGTGGACTTAGACATTGTAGACAAATCTCTATCATTTTATCGAAACCCTTATTTGGAGGTTCCCGTGCAC